TAAAAACAACCAAAGTTGACCAAAGTGCTATACAACTTGAATCGTGTAAAAAAGGCACATCATGCTATATAAAAAAGCTATATATATATAAATATAAGGCAATAACAAATATCTGCACCAATGTAAAACCAGAGACAGAGCAAGACAAAATTAAAAAAATAAAACCCACTAAGAACAACCAAAAGCCATAGAAAACATGTTTGTATTGAGTTTTGTCTTAAAATTGTCAATGGAGGAGCAGCGTTTTAACAAAAGGCTATTCCAAATCAAAGACACAATCTACCTAACCCACCAACCTTGATCATGGAACATTTAAAAACAGCTGCTCTGAGGATCTGAGAGGCCTGGAGTTGGTGTAGGGTCAGAGAAGTTCTGAGATGTACAGGGGTGCCTGCAAATCTGTGGATTTAAAAAAAAAACTAAATAAAATAACCTGAAAATCTATCCTGTATTTGACAGGTAACCAGTGCAGGGATGTAAGTGTCACAGAAAATGTGAGGTACTTTACCAGCAATTAATGATCTCCACTGTTAAGAATAAGTAGGGGAAGTTGAGGAATTTAAACAATTTATTTTGACCATATAAAACACAGACAGAACAACAGAAATAAAAGACAGCCATTAAATACTTCAAAAGGTTTAAAGTAAAAAAAAGCTATATATAATGGCTCATCATTTTAAAGAATAATCAATAAGTGTCCTTGGTATTATATAATTGCTATTGCCACAGTTCGTTATATAATTATCCAGGAAGGGGAGGGTTCTAATGTTCAAGTTGCAGAAATACAGGGCAGGGGGTGTCCATGTGTCATGTTCCATTAAGCCACTCTGCCTCTCCTTGAGCAAGATACTGAACCCCAAATTGCTCTCGACGCCTTGCAGCCACCGTATTGGAGTATAAATGTGTATGAGTGAATGAGTTCCAGTTCAATGGGCTTTGCCAATGAGTGAATGGGTGAATGTGGCATGTAGTGTAAAAGCGCCTTGAGTGGCTGGAAGGATAGAAAAGTGAGACAAAGAAGACTTGCTAACAGCCAAGTTCAGCAAATTGCAGTAAGTAGGAGGTAAACTACTTGAGGACAGTGCCATGGATGCCAACCTGGTCCCTAACACAGTTTAAAAGACAGCAGTGCATTTTGTGGCCACATAAACACGCACATAAAATAACTTGTTTTTCTTTTGTCTTCTATTTTTTGCCTTTCCAGGGAATATTATAATGAGGAAACAAAAATGACAGCATCACTAGTCTTCAAAAAAGTATTAGAAGAGGATCTATTAAAGAATTACACCTGTAAACTGGAAACTGACAGCCAACGGCCAAGCTTTGTCACCGTCACCTTGGCCCAAAAAGGTATGCAAGATGGATGGATAGATAGAGCTTTATCTTTACTATTGTTGATTTCGTATATGTTTGTTTCCAGCAGTACTGTGTTCAATTTACTATCATAATGCTTGAACCCGTTCAGCTCATGATCCTCGGATCCACTTAGTTGCACTTGTTGAGCACTACTCCACACGTTCAAGCTACAGGGAAGATTCATTTGGTGTCTGCTACTTTAAATAAATTCAAACTTTTAGAGTTATTTGTTCTTTATTCCCCTACAGCTTCTGCTTCGTCCATCTCCCTGGCTCTCAGCATCGTGATCATCGTTGTGGTGATTTGTGTAATAGTAGTTGTTTATATAAAGTTGAAGATGGACATTGCTCTTTTCCTGCGAGACACTATTGGTTGCCATCGCAGCACCTCAGGTGGGAGTCATGTGTTTGGCAATTTCTTTTGAATAACTTTTGTGTAACAGGTACATATGTTGCTTGGTAAAAGAAAGCAGCCATGTTGTCTCTATGTGCCTCAGTATGTGACAGCATTGACAAAGCTGTTGTTGTTTTCTTAGATGGAAAGACCTACGATGCCTTTTTGATGTGTTACAAGAGTGACGCAGAGGCAGGACTAAATGAAGATGACAGAAAATGGCTGGAGAGTGTTTTGGAAGAGAGATTTGGTTACAGTCTGTGTCTTTATGATCGTGTTGTCTTACCAGGAAACGGTATGGTATTGTAATAATGAAAGAACATATTAACATGAATATCAATTCATGTAAATATCCATTTACTGCTTAATGTATAATCTGAACTCTGGTTGGTTGCAGCTGAAGCAGAGGCAGTGTTAGAATCCATAGAGCAGAGCCGGACAGTGGTTTTGGTTCCCACCTCTTCAGATCCTGGTCCAGGATTTGGCCTGCTGAAAGACATCCATGCAGCTCTTGTGGAGTGGCAGACTCACTTGGTTTTCATCAAAACTGAGACAACAGAAGAGTCGAGACCAGTTTTTTTACCAGAGGCCTTACAACTTCTAAGTGAGGCTGGAAACTGTGTCACCTGGAAGGGCATAAGCTCCATACCACCCTCCTCCTCCTTCTGGAAGCAGCTACGCTACCACCTACCTGCCCCACAGCATGCACAAAATTAAGCCTTTACCTCAGACAGTTACCCAAGTTATCGCATAATGCAGTAACCCGCACAATGTTTTCTGTATCATACAACTATACATATGTTTGACATCAGCTGACTTTTGCAGCACTATCAGATATAGGCCACATCAAAGGCACTTCTAACCTTGTTGCTGATGCCTTCATCTTATTGTCCTAACAATCCTGGAGTGTTTTCCAGTCCTGCAGTTTCTCAAAAATGTCAGGTTGTTGAAGGATTGTTTAAATTGGTCAGGATCAAATGATGTAAAAGAGGGTGCTAGGCTTTATTGGCTAGGGTTATTTGATGTTAAACAGTCCTCTAAAGTGAGCCTTTATAATGTAACAGTAATGGATACTTTAAATCTCGGGGCTAGTGATAATATTTTATAAATATATTAAATGTTTCAATAGAGATCATGGTCATACTATTTTGTACATTACATGTTTTTCTTCTGTGGAATGTTGTTCTCATGGAGGGGGTCTGACCTTCCTGTTTGGGTCTTTCCCTTTTAGGAGGGAAAGCAGGAAGTGTATCACTGATTAGCACCTGATATAGCCCATCAGGTACATAAGCGGAAAGAGTCTGTTTCCTTTTTCTTTTTTCTTTTCTTCTTTAAAGTTTTAAAGTTAATCAATTATAATCATGCAAAAATACTAATTATGTAAAAATTTATTTATAAAAAAATAAATATTCATGTTAATCGAAGCATTATTCTGGACACCTTAATACTTCACATGCTATTAAAAAAACAGCAACACAGAGGCTCACAATACAAGAGTACATACAACAATGATGAAATGTGGAGTATTGGTATTAACACAGACTATGAAACATGCAAAGCAGAAACACAGACATAAAAGCATGCAAAGTGTACATCAATCTAACACAATAAAAAAATCACAATAATAGACATGCCTGTGTCACAGGTCACAGGTACAGGTATTAAAAGATTGAAAATGTACAGTGCTGAAGTTCTCCAGAACCAAGAGTGGACCGGAAAGAATATAACTGAATTGTTAAAAATTTACTTGGAACTTGTAATTTCAATCAATAAATATTTTTGATATCAACAATATGGAATTAATATTCATTAACTTACTCAACTCAAGAACCTAATCAGCAGGTGACATGATGGTGGCAGTTTATATTTCAGCTTTGATGTTTCCCTGCCACCTGGTGGATGTATAAGGAACGTATCGTCTTTAAAACAGAATATACTGTGTTGCCATAACTGTTAAATGCCCCCATCATCTCCTGTCTGGTGCTGTCAGCCTATCATCCATGACAGCAGTCTGTGATACAGGTGATTGGGATTTTGGTGTATTGATCAGACTTAAAAGTAAAAAGATTAATTTATGGCAACACAGTATATTCTGTGTTTTAAAGAAAATCAATTCCTTGTAGCATGTACTTATTAATTTCCATCCACTAGATGGCAGGACATTTTCAAATAAGCTGAAATATAAGTTGGTTTGTTTTGTTTAAGTCTGTATGTTTCAACCTTTGTGGCTGTTGTTTTTATTGCCACTGCGGCAGAACCAATTGCCCCTCAGGAACAAATAAAAGATTGTTTTGATGTGAGTTGCTGAGTTTTTCTCCAAGCCTCTGCCCATTCGGTGCTGAGCAGGTATGTGTACAGTGGGTTTTTAGAGCTTTTTTGCCAATAACAGCAAACAGCTGTTAAAATTTAGACCACAGCTAAACAATGACATATATATATATATATATATATATATATTATAGGAATTACATAGCATATGTGACATTTGTCCAGACAGTGTAGTAGACACAAGAAGGTGAATCACCTTGTTGTTCTTAAAGGGAAACTCCATTGATACACATAAATGTCATGTTATTATGGGGAGTATCAGTTACAGTTGAATAATGTCTGCTGTGGTTCTGAAAATAACCCATGATGATACCATCAATGATGCTGTCAGTTACATTATGGGTAAGGTAGTGTAGCGTCCTGGGTTTCTTGGAACTAGATCCTTAATCGGGACTAAATAGAATATCTCAGCCTCTACCTGTGTCTTGTGAATTCTATACTATATATAATATACTATACTATAATACTATATGTCTGGACCACTTTAAAGCAGTGGTTTTGGCTTATCACACCCTAAAATAAAGTAATGTCCTTGCAACCCCTCATCACTAGCTGTCTTTTAACCTGGTCTGTCTCATTATATTATTATTTAGCCATTTGAACATTTGAACTACAACTACTACTACTTACTACCAGTGTTCTAGTTTCTCAAAAAATAAATGTATTACTCATTACTTCTTACTCTTTTCAAAAGTAATATTACTACTTTACTTATTGTTCCCTGCCAACAGTAATTAGTCACACTAGTTATATTGCTTTTCTGCCAACCCCCACAACATTTTTAATTCATCACTTCTCCCCAAAATTCAGACTTCTAACAATTTAAATCCAGTTTTATTTGTTAAAATCAAAGTAATGGGAATATTCCCAGGCACTGAATGTAACCATTTCCATCTTCTAGGCAAGTTTCCTCCACAATTACAAAATTTAATCCAAGGATGTGATTGGTTTGTTGGATTCCAAAAGCAGTAAATTCAATATTATTTCTAGTATCTACTGTAGTATTATTAGTATTAGTAATTAGTTACACTACAAGTAACTGGGGGAAGTAATATTATTACTTCCCAAAACTGGTAACTTCCGGCTTTTCAGATTAATATTTTATATGTAGAAAATATAATTTAAAAAAAACATCCCTTGTTATAAATTAAACTACCCAACTAGTTATTAAAATCATTTATTTATTCTTTAGTATTGCTAGTTTGAATAACTGATATTCTTGATAATAATTATCCTCTTACTAATTGTGTTGAAAGAAATTATAACACCACCAATGCAAATATCATTTTCTCTTTTATTTTCTACACATCTTTGTCTAATTTATCTTCCTCCTCCTGTGCTTTTATTCCACTTTCCCTGCTCTCTTTGTGTCCACCATTGTTGCTCACCTGCAGCACAGTGGCCTGGCGTACTGTAACTGGACTGGACTAGATTCCCAGGAGGAAGATAGGGTCATTGTGAACTGGCCCTAGGTCCAACTTCTGCTGAGAGGTCATAAGGGTTCCTTAGTATGATGTTGTGTACCACCTATTACAAGGAATATTTTAAACAGTGCTATATTGTCTCATATGGTTAACTGAAACGATGTGGGTTTCCCTGACAGTTTCCAGAGCGAAAGAAAA